ATTGGGCATATGCTTTCCTATTTGATCTGGAAGTAGCGAAGAACTCTGAAGACTTCAAAAACCAAGTGAAACCAAGTATAAACAGTTTTTTTTAAAAAGAGGTTTGGGGTTTTTTTTTTGCAAATCCTTCCGTTTTAATTTTAGCTATTTATTTTAATAACAACTTTAGCATGGCTTCCTATCAGGAAACTTTTAATTAATTCCTCCTTTATATTGAAAGTTCCAGTGCTGAACAATTTAAAATAACAGTAATAATATAGCTTTTTGTTTTCACTAATGTATGCATGCAACTTACTGAACATGTGAGAAAGCAAGAAATTGGATAGGATAAACATCCCAATAAATATTGTCCCTACTTTAAATCCTGGATTAAGCAAAGCACTTGACAGAAAAAAAAGTAGACTCTACAGCTACCATATATATTTTTCTAGCCTAGCATTTTCAGTGTGACAGCCAGTGTGCCTGTTAGAAAATTTGGGAGAAATAGTTAGAACACATCTATAATGGAAAGCTATTTTAGAAGATGCTATTTCATATTTTGAGAATTTTTGGTGCAAATTAGTTGGAGTTCCATTCAGTGTAAAGGAAACGTTTTTGAGTTCTATGCTGAAAAGGACTAGGAGTTGAAACTATTTTCCCATTATACTAGGGAGTAAATAGTGGATTTCAATTTTTTAGTATGAAATTAATTTTGAGGCTAAATAACAAAATGTGTGTTCTGTGTCTGTTAGAGATTTGGAAAAAATCAGTCACTATAGCTCATTCTTTAAGGCTGCAATTTATTGGTCCATTCCAGTAAGCCAACAGAAATCAGACAGAATAAAAAATGCAATGCATGTGGTACTCTAAGCCAAAAGAGTAAATCTATAATAAATGACCAGTAAGTATATTAACTTTTCCTGGAGAAGGTCTGTCTATGTGGTTACTAAAGGTCAGCACTGATTTGATGGCACATAATCAAAGTGTATTAAAATAATATAAAATAGTAGTGAAATATAATTCCTCTAAATTCACAAGAAGATATTTTAAAGTTACAAATATAGCACATGTGTTAAAATGTGTAAAGACAAATTCCGGATTATTTGCCAGTGGTAAAAATTTCAGTTATGCATTGTGATCCACTCTCATCATTTTAAATAGTTTGATCAATAATTTGTAAAAAAAAACACACAAAAAAAACCTTCCTCAAATCTGCAATTAATCCTACTTTGCAATTTCCATTGAACATCACAGATTGCTTAAAAAGAAATATCATTACAGGATACAGATCGCTCCAACTGTGATTTCTTTTTCTCAGACCTATGTTTTGGAGGATTGAGAACATTATCACCTGATGCAGTCAGCATGAACATTACAAAAAAAATAGTTTGCAGGCAGATGCAGTTGTATACTCTCAGATACAAAAAATAATGTGCATTTAAATTAGTTGGGTGCATTTGAAATTGCACTTGCTGAAGATAACTAGCCTGTGAAACGGGGAGATGTTTAGAAACAGTATTTACAGGATTCTGATTCAGCAATCAACGGTTTCCAACAAACTAACTTCTTAATTTAGGAAAATATATGGAAACTTCATGAACAGTTACAGTACAACTAGTCTTCAACTTATGACCACAGTTTGGAAGAGAATTTTTGTTGCTAAGCAAAGTGGCTGTCATTTTCAACTTTTAGGTGTGTGTCATGTATGTGTTTCACTTTGAGAGTGGGCAACTAAATTTCATTTTTGATGTGTGCCATTGTGCCCACAGTAAAAAAAATGACAATAAAGGTTATTCTAGCCTAGCCTAGCCTAGCTTAGCTTAGGTTAGCTTAGTTTTTATTCCCAGGGTTGTTAAATGTTAAATGAATTGTTAAAAATGAGTTGTTAAATGAATCACTGTAATTGTTATGTGAATCATGCAGTTGTTAAGCAAATCCAATGTTAAGCGATTTTCAGAAGTGGTTTCAAGTGGTGTGCCACTGTCTCCTTCCTAAGGCTGAGAGAAAGTGACTCCCCAAGGTCACCCAGCTGGCTTTGTGCTTAAGGTAGAACTAGAACTCAAGTTCTCCTAATTGTCTATATCAAACTGATTCTCTGTAACTACGAGTAGTCCTAGACTTAAAAAACACAATTGGGACCAGAACTTCTGTTATTAGGCAAGTGAGTTGTGTCCGATTTTATGGTCTTTTTTTTGCTATGGTTGTTAAGCATATCACAGCAGTTACTAAATGAATCATCCAGTTAATCCAATTTCCCCCATTGACTTTGGGAAGGTCGTAGATAGTGATCACATGACCCAAGGATGCTGCAACAATCATAAATATAGGCCGATTGGCAAGCACCAGAGTTTTGATCGAGCGGCTGTGGGAATCAAGGTCTGGTTGCAAGTCACTTTTTTTAGTACCATTGTAACTTCAAACGGTCACTAAAAACTGGCTATAAGTCAAGAACTGTATGCAGTAGCAATTTCTCTGAAGAAATAATAGCAATTTCTTTATACTGTAGTGCTTTCACTATTAAAAAGCTGGGCGGGATAGAGGAATGGTCATTTTTAAAATTTGCGCAGTAGAGGCTTCCTTTGTTTCCACTTTTTGTTACTAAGAATAGTTTCACATGCAGGGTAACAGGACTGATATTTTAAATTCTTTTACAGTGTCAGATGACAGATCATTTTTGTCATCACCCTTGCAGTTTTACCATCAGGGGGCTAGATTACTGCTTTGAGAAAACGGAGCTTCATTCCTACAATCCTGTTACTAATTACAGATTGGTAGTTCTCTCCTATTAAAAATACGGATTCCGCATTGAGAAGAAATGAATTTATCCCTCCATAGCTTGGAGATAAGAGTGTTGTGTATTGTACAATCACTTTATAAATATGTGTGTTTATCTGTGCTGTGGTGATCACAAAAAAACCAAGGCTGCCTACCTTCAGAAGGATAGTAAATAATGCATGGTATTTCGTAATCCAGCTATCTTCATTCTGTGGCCAGAATGGAAGATTAAGGTCTGAAAAGCAATCTGAGTGTAGTCTAAAGCAGAACTGAGATTTTGCTAAGTTTTGCAATATGTCTGTTTCTTGAAATACTGAATCTTTCCGTGATTCCTAAACAACACGTTCTCACTCTGGAAGGAGTGTAGACTACTTGAAATATCAGGATGTACATAGTATCCGTGGTCCAGATGTTTTCAAGGATCTGAGCTTTTCTGCTACTTCACTGATAGCTAAAGGGTTAAGAAAAAACTTCCCAATGTTAAAAACTGGAACAGAGAGACAATTTCTCAGAGAGATGCTGAGTTGCCTCTTAACTGGATGAATTCAGGAAACTGGACAAGTCATCTATCTGTCTGGAATATTTTAATTTGAATTCCTATACAATACTGAGCAGGGGATTGGAATCAGACCTCCTTGGCCCCTTCCAACTCTATGATTCAGTGATTCTAAATAACAGTTGCATCAGTGCAGTGTGTGTGTGGCTTACGTCCCACTGCCTGTGTTGCACATTTTTGTAGAAGTACTTCTGGCCCAAACTGGGAGCCAGGCAGACCATGCTGCTCAGTATCTATCTATTCTCCCCCCCTCCCAAATTCTCATTGTCTTTCCTTGTCCCCACCTCCTTGCCCCATGTGGTCTGTTCAAGCATGTCACTGATATTGATGAACTGCACTCCTAAAAAGTGCTACGCTTTTGATATTCCGACTTAAATTTCATCTTCAGCTAACTTAATTATTTTTTTTCTCCTTCCTTCATCCCTTTTTTTCCCCTTTGCAGCTCAACTGTAGAAAAATATGGGAGACGACAGGCCGTTTGTGTGCAGTGCCCCCGGCTGTGGACAGGTAAGTTTACAGTATCCTCTGCTGTTAGTATATTATTATGAATCAAAGTGGCTGTTTTATCACCAAGGCAAAGAGTTTAAAGCCAACGTCTTATGTGATTGCTGGAGATAATCAGATCGGAAGATTTGCCGTGTGTAAATCCTAGTTATGAGCATGTGCAAGAGCCCTGAAGTAATGAAATTTGCCTGATATGCCTGGCGTTTCGCTGCTTTTTCTCTCTTCTTGTATCTCACATCTAGTAGTAATCACAGAATATAGAGGGAGGAAATCCTATAACTGATATCTACATAACATAATCTGAAAGCATAATACGATTTAATAACATTTCTCGGTTTCCCCCCCCCCCCAAACATATATTTATTTCTCAGTGAAAGGTTAGAATGCCTTTAAGCTTATTTTTTAAAGCGCATATTGTTCCATAGCCAGATACTACATTTTCTTTTTACAATAACATTCTGTATTATTTAAAAACATTCCCACAAGGATAAAAAGAGAATAAAAAATAAAAGCCTCCAGGCATATAATCTATACAAGGATACTCTTCAGCAAAATCATCTAAACATTAGCCTATTTAGTTTTAAAAACAGTATTTCAATAGCTTAAGAAAATAAGTTGACATTTGCTCCTGGATGAACACATTTATTTTCAAATGGAGACNCACGAAGGGGGGAGGCCTGGCGACGCTGCGCCCTGCCGGGCGCTCACTGACAGGGCCGGGGGGGCCGAGGCGGCCAGGGAGGAACAGCCAAAATGCCCCCTCGGCTTATGCGCGGGTCACCAATTTTTCCCAGTTCTCTGTGGGAAAATCGGTCCCTCGGCTTATACTCGGGTCGACTTATACTCGAGTATATACGGTAACAGTTGCATCAGTGCAGTGTGTGTGTGGCTTACGTCCCACTGCCTGTGTTGCACATTTTTGTAGAAGTACTTCTGGCCCAAACTGGGAGCCAGGCAGACCATGCTGCTCAGTATCTATCTATTCTCCCCCCCCCCAAATTCTCATTGTCTTTCCTTGTCCCCACCTCCTTGCCCCATGTGGTCTGTTCAAGCATGTCACTGATATTGATGAACTGCACTCCTAAAAAGTGCTACGCTTTTGATATTCCGACTTAAATTTCATCTTCAGCTAACTTAATTATTTTTTTTCTCCTTCCTTCATCCCTTTTTTCCCCTTTGCAGCTCAACTGTAGAAAAATATGGGAGACGACAGGCCGTTTGTGTGCAGTGCCCCCGGCTGTGGACAGGTAAGTTTACAATATCCTCTGCTGTTAGTATATTATTATGAATCAAAGTGGCTGTTTTATCACCAAGGCAAAGAGTTTAAAGCCAACGTCTTGTGTGATTGCTGGAGATAATCAGATCGGAAGATTTGCCGTGTGTAAATCCTAGTTATGAGCATGTGCAAGAGCCCTGAAGTAATGAAATTTGCCTGATATGCCTGGCGTTTCGCTGCTTTTTCTCTCTTCTTGTATCTCACATCTAGTAGTAATCACAGAATATAGAGGGAGGAAATCCTATAACTGATATCTACATAACATAATCTGAAAGCATAATACGATTTAATAACATTTCTCGGTTCCCCCCCCCCAAAACATATATTTATTTCTCAGTGAAAGGTTAGAATGTCTTTAAGCTTATTTTTTAAAGCGCATATTGTTCCATAGCCAGATACTACATTTTCTTTTTACAATAACATTCTATATTATTTAAAAACATTCCCACAAGGATAAAAAGAGAATAAAAAATAAAAGCCTCCAGGCATATAATCTATACAAGGATACTCTTCAGCAAAATCATCTAAACATTAGCCTATTTAGTTTTAAAAACAGTATTTCAATAGCTTAAGAAAATAAGTTGACATTTGCTCCTGGATGAACACATTTATTTTCAAATGGAGAC